CAAGATTTTTGGAAGTGACTTGCTCTTGCCTTCTTCCTAAGGCAGACTGAGAGCAACAGGCCGAAGGCACTCAGCTGGCTTTGTGCCTAAGGCATGACTAAAACTCACAGTCTCCCAGTTTCTAGCCTGGTCACTACTCCAAATTGACTGTTAATGAAGTAAGATAATAATTCTGGATAAAAGATTTCTCTGGAAACAACAGCACTCATTCCCAGTTCCATTTCAACTATATGTGAACTTCTGCTACTAGTACAAAAAAAAAGGTTAAAGCTACTTCTTGATTAACCAGGAAGGGCTGGGGACTGATGAAAGAGATTTTTGCACAGGATCATCCTGGCTATTGACATGCTGACTAGCTCATGAAAGCATGTTCCCTCCAGTAGTCTTTTTTAGGCAACACTGCTTAATGGCCAAGACCAGAGGAACTAATCCAAGGAAGTTCAAAACATTTGATAAATTTTATCACGGTGTAATTACTAATTCTTGCAAGAGGGAAGAAGGAAAGCACATTGAGACTTGCAAGATGCTGGTACTATAACCAATCTTTATAAAAGTAGTTTTAGGCCTATGTGAAGCCTTCTTGGTCTGGTCTACCTCCTAGGGCTGACAACAATCTTGCAAGTCTCAATGTGCTTCCGCTCCTCCCTCTTTTATATTTTTAATGGGGGGGGGGCTTCCGCTCCTCCCTCTTTTAATGGGGGGGGCTGCCTTTCTGAAAGCTTATTTCCTTATTGTTTGGGCTTAAGCAATATTTATCTACTTGTTGCCTTGGGAACAGATCTTCCTTCTCTCCGCCAAGATCATCCTCTTTACTCTGTACAGGTGAGATGATCACTGAACCTAACAAATATATAAGCAACATCTACTTAACTTCAGCCATAACATTTTGGGAAGTGCGTGAGAGAATTGTTGTGTTCAAACAACAGTTTGGTGTGCTTGAGTGCAGAATAAACCGAGGGCTTTGCCAGCTCCTTTGTTGCCACAGCAAGATTTTCCGGGATTTTTAGAACTAACTGTTAAGACCGAGGCACATACAATGCTCTACGGGCGTGTATCTCTCACCTTTTGGCTTTTCCACTTCGAGTGCCAAAGTTTATTGGGCACCTTCCGCTCTTCACATCTGAAACCCTCAGCAAACTTTCCTTTCCTTTGGGAGCGGCAGCAGCAATCACAGCGCACACGCCAGAACGGAGCAAATGCCTCACCCAGGGCAGCACTGCCACATCACGGGGAGATTTAAAGGACAGTGGTTGTAAGAAAGCACCAGGTTTGTTGAGAACAAAGATTGCATTGGCTGTGTGCCTTTGGTCGCGCTCGTGGCCAGATGCTACTTCGGAACCAGAGAGCCAGCTAAAGGGCAAAAACAAAGCAAGCCAACTCGGTGGGCGCTATCGTAGCGCTTGGCTGCTAGCTGCAGCCACTTCTCAGGACTGAGAAGGCTCGGGTGGAAGCCTCAGTTTCCTGCGCCGACAGTCAAGGAAATGAGGGCGGGGCCAACTGGCTTCCCTTCTCACCGCTGCATCCAGCTGTGTGTGAGTGGGCGAGACTCTGATTTCTCTCCAGTGGGAGATTCCCCCCCCCGGCGGGCGGTGCTTCCCTTCCTTTCCCCGGTTCTCCCCCCCGCGCCGCTCCCCCTTGCAGGAAAGGGGTTATAAAGGCGGCGCGGCGCCTGAACGAGAAGCAACGACGAGGCATCCAAGTTTCACTGGAAGAGGTTTCACTGTAATCACCCGCTAACATGTGGTTTCTCCTAGTGGCGGTGGGCAGCCTGGGAGCGGGGCTGGCGTCGCCCTCGCCATTTCCAGCGCCGATCCCCTTCGGCGCGCAGTGCTTGCGCTCCGCCTGCTTCAGTTTATTCTGGACTTCCAGTAAGTTCGCCGAGGCGGGCGGCGTGTGCGAAGGAGGCGGCGGATACCTCATGACCGTGCGCACCACGGTGGCGGCGGAGGCCATAGCGCTGCTGCTGCGCGACCGCCCTGGCAGCGCGTGGCTAGGCTTGCGCCTACCCGAGACCGACTGCGTCGAGCCGGCGAAGCGCCTGCGGGGATTTCAGTGGGTGACCGGCGATGGGCACACGGACTTCGAGGCTTGGGAGAGCAACGGGTCCGACGCCGCGGTGACCACCTGTGGCCCCACGTGCGTGGTGGTGACCCACCAACTGAAGTGGCAGGAGCGTGCGTGCGACGCCTCCGCTGAAGCGATCCTCTGCGAGTACAACTATCCGAACGGGACCTGCGAGCCGCTGTCCTTACTCGAGGCCTTCACGGTCACCTACCGCACGCCCTTCGGCGCCCGAGAGAGCGACCTGGGGGCCTCTCCTCCGGGCACGACGGCGGAGGTGCCGAGTCTGGGCGCCAGATTGGAGTGCCTCGCGCAGGGCAGCAGCGGGTCTTTAGAATGGGGTTCAGCCGCGCCCGGCGCCTGGAACTGTCAGCTAAAAAATGGGGGTTGTGATGGTCGGTGTTACCTGGACGAGCAAGGGAGACCCCACTGCGCCTGCCCGGAAGGCGAAACGTTGTTGGAGGACCAACGGAGCTGCTGGTCCCCATGTGCCAGCCTGGGATGCCAGCAGCATTGTGTGCCTCAGGGTGACTCTGGAATCTGTATGTGCTCTGAGGGTTATGTGCTGGATTCTGATGGCAAGAACTGCTTGGACATTGATGACTGCCAGGCCACACCAAACCTTTGTGAACAGGAGTGCGTTAACACCCAGGGTGCATTTGAGTGCCACTGCTGGCCAGAGTATGACCTGGTGGAGGGCAAGTGCCTCTCAAAAAAATGGCAGTGCTTTGATTTGCCATGTGAACATGATTGCAACTTGGTTGATGGAGAGTATAAATGCACATGTTTTGAGGGGTATATTCTAGACCCCAAAAATCATCATAAGTGTCTTCGAGTCTGTAACCAGACTGAATGTGCTGCGCAATGTGACCCAAACAATATAGATATATGCTACTGTCCAGAAGGATTTATCTTGGAAGAGAAAAATGAGATAAAGGTATGCACAGATATTGATGAGTGTGAGTCTGGAGAGTGTACTCCCCACAAGTGCATCAATACTCCTGGCAGGTATCACTGCATCTGTCCCAATGGGCAAGAACTAGACAGCTGTGAGCCGCCATCAGAAGAACCAGAGGAATATTCAGGTGCAACTGAAGTTTATCCCGAAACATCTGTTCCTCCTTCTTTTGCCCCACCAAAGGATGGCAGCAGTCGAGGGACATTGGTGGCAATCATAGTTAGTGTCACGTTTATGGTTGTGGTGTTAGCAGTTATTATCTGCTACCTGGTGAAGAAACACTATGCCGCGCAAAGCATAGCGGACTACAAGTGTCAGCAGTCTGAAAGCGGTGTGGCATTGCAGCATGTCACAACTTGTGCTTCTTCCAGACAGAAAATGTAGGAAACCTTCATTCTGGAAGCGGAAAAGAGACAGAAAGCTTAAAAACTGCATGGAAATATTTATGAATTTGGGGGAGAGTCTTGTGCAGATGCTGTTTAATTTATAACTGCCTGCATGAACTCTGAAGTAATGTTTTCCCTTCATTTCCTGAGAGCTAATTGTCATGCAGTGAGAGCAATGTTAGTATTTGGCACTGACTTATTACAATGTTAGTGTTTGACACTGACTTATAATGTGAATCACACATGTGCAGAGACATGGAGTTTGGACTGCATTTATGTAGGATTTCAGTTCAGTTCTTTTCTCCAGATGCAACATGATTGCTTTATTATTTGTTGTAGCAGACATGATGCTGTCTGTGTTGAAGATCAAGATCACCTGAAATGGGAGAGATATTAAACTCCTCTTCTAAAAGTATTTTTTCTGGAAACTTCCATTGTTAAAATATGTATTTATTATTCACAGTTTTCACTTTGTTAACATTATTGGACAATGATTCTATGTATCAGTCTTGACGTATCCTCTGTATATGGTGAAGGAGTTAGCTATCAACTCATGCCAAATTGTCAATTTAATTTGCAACCCACTACTATGTAGTCCTTATTCTCCCCCCCTTTTTTTTTTGTTACTGATGTTGGCTTGGGAGAATTTACCATTAGACTAGACACTAGGTTTGTAATGCAAACTTGGTATGCTGTCAAAGTAGTTTTGAGTACTTGCTGTTATAAGCACACCTACTTTATCGCAGTGTTGTTACTTTTTCCTTTGTGGTATCCATGTGAACTTTCCTTTGTCTTCATCTCATTTTCAGATTGTTCTATTTGTGGAGTCCTTGGGGTTCTCTGAGCTTGGTTTTCTGACTGGTTCTGAGCAACCCCAAGGATTCCACAGTTCAACCCTGAGCTACATATATCCTCTTCTATTGCTCTGTTTGTTTCACAGTGGAGTTCTCTAACTGCAAAACATGTGACATACCAGTTGGCACTTTGGACACTTATTTAACTGGATTAAATTGCTTTCCCTCATGTTTTGTTTCTAATACAAAATGTCCACCAGTTTTAGCGGAAGCTGTATCATGCCTTTCAGATTTTCAGTACTGTATTGGAAAGAGTTGGGGAATACTTGCATTTGAGACCCTCTTTTTATTTTTGTTTAAGACAATAAGCATGATAAAAAGGCTTTAACCATTTTAAAGCAAATGATATCCAATCAGCCCTAAGGCAAAATCCTGCTAAATGTAAGCCCTTTGCATTGATTTCAAGTGCAAAGTGTAACCGTAGCCTGAACTTGAACTAATTAGCACCTGGAGAGTTTGATCATAACTGGATTCCAATGTACCTTCTGTGAGTTGCAATTTCAGCACTGTAATATGTACCTTATTGGAAGTTTGCAAAAAAAGTTACAGGCATTTGTTGTATACTATGGCCATTTCTTCCTGAAGAATTTATATATCTTCCAGTGTCACCCAGCCATTAGTGAAGCAATATAAAGCTTGTCCATATTACTGTTTTATCAGCAGAAAAACAGCTGGATGAAAGTATAAAGGGCTATGAATCACTAGTGAGGAAATGATCAATGTTGCTGCTAATTGGTTAATGCAGTTCCAGTGTGATATTTTTGACACTTTAAAATGTGGCTGTTTTAATAAATGGGAGTGAATTAGACACTTTGTAAGTGAACGTTTCATGTATTTATTTATGTATGTATTTATTTATTTATGGAAAATATACCATAAAATTGTTTTCCATCTTGTGTAGATAAGAAAGCCCATCTCTATAAAGTATACAGTTTGCAGCATGATCTCTTTATTATAGTAAACACATGTTGTGTTTCAAGCAACTCCTTATTTTATCTGACTGATTCTTGGAATTTCCAGATTCTACAGAGATTCTTTGAACCTCAAGAACAAAGTTGCAAGTATTAAATAAAACTATATTACTCTATAAAGTATACAGTTTGCAGCATGATCTCTTTATTATAGTAAACACATGTTGTGTTTCAAGCAACTCCTTATTTTATCTGACTGATTCTTGGAATTTCCAGATTCTACAGAGATTCTTTGAACCTCAAGAACAAAGTTGCAAGTATTAAATAAAACTATATTAGCTTCATGCCAGTCCTTGTTTCAAGTAATAGGAAACTTAATTTGAAAAGCCACAATTTACACATGTGCTGTGGAACTGTTTCTGTTAAATAAACATCTACAAGGTTGCACAAGAAAACAGAATTGTCAACAAAGACATTAACTTAGAACTAAAATTAACTGCTAGATTGATCAAGTACAGTTTTAATTAGTTCATAGTAAAGATAATTTTTGACTACTCATTTGTGAAGTGAGAGCATACTTTCTGAGTTTTCTGTTGTTTCAAGAAATGTATATATATTACCACAAAATAAAATATTAGACTGACATTCTGATCATAAATGAAGTGTGAAACATTTTTATGAATAATGCATAATATAAATGTAAGAGAACTGATGTAATATAACAGATACGGGTTTAAAAAATTAAAACAATGAAGAAACTATAGTTAGCATTTAAATGACTATCAAGTTACTACACAGCAAAGTCATAGCCATAACAAGAAAGAAAATTTAGAATTTAGGTAATCCAAAACTAATTTAAGAATCGACAAGGTAATTGTAGAGTTAATAACAGATTGGTAAGCCTAAAATGGTGAATGTTACTATGTACAGAAATTTGATTAGCCACTAATTTAATAAAGCTACATAACTACCTAACATTTAGAAGCCATTGCATGTGCCTTGGGTTAAATGCCGCCTTGCGGCATTTAATAATGTGGCATTATCCACCTAGATATTTATTTATTTTATTTATATTTATTTATTTATTTATTATTAAATTTATATGCTGCCTATCTCCCCCAGAGGGTGACTCTGGGCAGCTTCCAATTAAAAACCAAGACAATAAAACAATAAAAATATAAATACCCCCCCGATTAAAACACAAATAAATCTATAAAAACAATATACAAATCAAGAAGATGGGGGAAGCAGTGTCAATCATCCCATGAGCCAGCTCCAGCAATGAGAGCCCCCATCAGGCCCCCAGGCCATCCAGCATAGCCATGCTTTTACACCTTTTAGAAGGGCGGGGGGGGGGGGGGGGGGGGGCTGTGATGGAATGTATCTACAAGGAGGAGAGTGAGGTGGGAGAGCAAGGCCATCAGGAAGGAGGGGGTACATTCCAGCAGGGGAAAGGAGGCAAAAGACAACAGAGTCCGCAGGGGGAGCATGAAAAGAGTAAGAGATTCAGGACAGCCACTCCCTAGAATCTCCCAGGGTATATCCACTAGTTGCAGTAGGATAGATTTAGTTTGGCAAGATTCTGTCTATAAGGTGTAAGCAAATAAAGGGACTGTACTCAAATGGACTGTTTCATCCTTGTTGTCAGGTTCAGCCCAAAGAACTCCCAGAGACGGTGCAGATACAGTTCTGTTGCGTTTATTAGCTTCTACCTCAAGACAGAAATCTCTCCAAACTGAATCTAACTTTCCAACCCAGCAAGTCAAAACACAGTGAATTCTTAGGGTGGTGCCAGTCTCATCTTCTTAAACTTCCCACATTCCTGTTGAGGGCTAAGGGAATGCTTATCTCTTCGAGCGTGGCCTTCATCCAACCATTCCTTCACACTTGTTCTTGGGCTGGGCCTGGCAGGGGCAGCCCGTACCTCAGCCGGCAAACTGTTCCACAGGGCAGGGGCCATGGCGGAAAAGGCCCTCTTCCTAGACCCCACCAGCCAAAATTCCTTGACTGGTGGGGTCCGCAACATGCCCCTTCTGCTGGGCTGAGTGGGGCAGGCAGTTATAATGGGTGAGACGGCTCCGTGAAGGGCTTTAAAGGCGATAACTAACACCTTGAATTGAATCTGGAAGCAAACCGGCAACCAATGCAGCTTGCATAACAGAGGTGTTATATGTGCCGCCCTAGAGGCATTCAAGATTGTTCACGCCGCTGCATTTTGTGCCAGCTGTAGCTCCCGAATACTCTTCAAGGGTAGCCCCATGTAGAACACATTGCAGTAATCCATATGGGAGGTGACTAGGGCATGAGTGACTGCGCGGAGGGCCTCCTGATCCAGGAAGGGGCATAACTGACGCATAACATGAAGCTGCGCAAAGGCCCTCCTAACCACGACTGCCACCTGCTCTTCAAACAGGAGTCATGAACTACCCCAGATTATGCACCGGGTCTGTCTGGAGTAGTACAACCTCATCTAGAACTGGAGATGATAAGCTCCTAGATCTTGAGGCTCCCCGTATCCACAGCCACAGCCAGATATAATTTATATATAGCTGATGATCCTGAAAGGTTAACATAATTATGAAGGTATATTATGTTACAGTATTAAATGTGCTTATGGAGTATTATTTTAATCTGCTTCTGTTTTTCAAACTCTTCTAAGCAAATATGTGAACCTTTGTTTCTTAAAATATAAATCATCTTCTAGCCCCTCAAAAAATCACATCCTCTAGAAGTTGATAATAATAAATATTAAACTGATCTGTTAATAGAGGCCGCTGATTAACGAATTACAAACTCTTTAACGGGGTGTTAATCTTTATTTCATTATGTACAAATCATTCTCAAATCACTTGAATTTGCCATTATGCGGACTTTCTGTATTCTAATAATTCTGAGTGAGATGGACCAGAGAGTTCTGATTACATATATTTCTTGTTCCTTTCCCCTTTCTAGGGGGAAAAATCTGCCAGAGCAGAGAAGCAGGTTGTGCAAGATCCATATCAGTGGTCTGCAAAACTGGTGCTGATTTCAGAACATGCTGGGAAGAAGAGACCTGTTTCTAGGTGATCCTGAAATGAACACAAATCTGAAACAAATTAGGACAAAAATGAAGACAACCCAGAAAATCATAATGTACAAGAAGGATGCAGATACGAAACAAGTGTACAGAATCTGATTTTTTTTAAAAAAAATGCTAATGACATACTTCAATACTCTGAACCCATTATACCAAATTCAGTAGGTCTTACTCTCAGGTAAATGAGCATAACTCTGCAGCATTAGGCTCTCTTCACATAATAAAATACAGATCTGGTGAAGGAAGGAACCAACATAGTATGCCTTTTATACATGATTTAAAGTATATGCTGTTTGAGAATGCATCTTCATGTTTATGATGCAGGATAGCAGATATGGGTTTAAACAACAAAAACAGTGAAGAAACTATAATTGTTAGTATTTAAATGTTTGAATTTACTACACAGCAAACAGCATAGTACAAAATGTAATTTTGGAAATTTTAAAAATGCTGAAATTTATTAGTTGTTAACAAAAGGTTAGAAACAGACCATGGTTCTTAACAGAAGTCTGTATTATGGCAGGAACTATCACTGCATACAGTAAAAGTACTTTTTTTCTGGACAGAGTATAAACTTAAGCAGAGCAGAAGGTCACCTAGATCACTATTGATAAAGTTGTTTGAGAAGTGTTAATAGTAAAGACTTCTGTGTTTCCATGCAGAAAAATGGCCACATTTTTATTATTACAAAATGTTCTTTCATATTTGATCAATCTTTCTACATCATTACCATATTATTGCCCTAAATCAGGTACATATTCCTAAATATTCCTCCAAAAAGTATTTCCCTTGACATGATTGAAATATCTGGATTTATTCTCATGCATTCTATCTATTTCTGTAATGGAGTTGTGTTTTACATTTGTGCTTTTTCTAGGGCAAATTTATCAGATTAACCAACTGTAAAAGTTGTAGTGGTTCTTAATGCATCTGAATCCAGAATAGGAGGATGAACTAAGGATAATTTCCTCTTATGCACTTTCTCCTTCACATCCTTCCTTGATGTGCCTTTTGGACCTAACTCTGTGTGTGTGTGTGTGTATGTGTGTGTGTGCATGCGCGCATGCCTGTATGTGTGGAGAATGTGGCAATGGAGGTAAAAAATCCAATTTAGTAATATATAAACCAGTTTTAAAATTGGTGAGGAAGATGTGCAATGGTTTAATGGTCTGATCAAAAGTATCCTATATCAAGTGTAGTTTAATTTTGAGGGTTAGTACTCACAGTTTTGGTACAATGAAAAAATGTTATCGATCAAAAAAAAAAACTGGCAAGGAAAAGGACTTTAGTTTAACACTGACTCTAATATCTAAGGTCATAAATATGGAAGGAGCATTTAATTACTGCTGTCTGAAGTTAGAGTGTTCACTATCCAAGTTTATGCCAATGTGAAAAAGGCCTGAAATTGTAGGCTTTGATCATGTGATTTTGAAGAACACACATACTGTATGTAGTATGCAACTTTATATGAGAAGACTCTTGGTCTTATGAGCTTTGCTAACTTGAAGAAGTCATTAAATCTTATTAGCCACTGTTTCTCTTTCTGTTACATTTTTCATCTTCATGAAAGTCAGTTACATTTTTTCAATTAAGTTTAATCTTTTTTGTGTTTTTTTTTCTTCCACTTTTCTCAGATTTTTATGATTAGAAAGGGATCCCTGATATAGTTCAATCTCTGAGCATCTAAGGCCATCTCTTTTATTTGGAGAGGACTACCTGTGTCTGCATTTTATTTAAACTTCATTGCACAAACAATTATTCCTCCAAAAACATCATAGTGATTTCTTTTTCCCCACAACATCTCGCTTTTGAGATTCTCAATAAATGTATGTTTTGTTTACTAAGTATCCAGGATATATTCCTTTAGGTCGATTCCAAGCTGGTTTCATAAATATACTACAGTACTGTTTATTTTTACTAAGGATTAACAGACTTGGGTTGCAATCATTGCAAAGATCAACAGATGGCAGCAAAGATAATTTTCTGTATGTATTTGCTCCACCTAGTTATCATGGATTCAGTCTGAAGAAGGAGCACAACACTGAGAAG